AGTACGCATGAAAAAAAAAGACAAATCTTCGACTTGAAGACGTTTATAAACGCGTATTGTAGCGGGAAACTTGTCATTTTTGGGCCTGTTTTCGCCGCATTGAGCATAATTTGTGGCCAATGACCGGGAGGGCCTCTCAGGTTTCACCCGGTACGTTCTATTTTGGACGGCACGTTTACTAAAATTTTTCAAAATCAGGATATTTGTAACAACATATTACCTCCCTTTTAGATGTAAGTCATATTTAGGAACACGTATTGTGTCGGAAATATGAGCTATGACGGACGTTATAAGTTCTTTCCAACGCTACCAGGAAAATCGTCTACCACATGGTGTCGGTTCAATTTTCTAGCATCTTCCCACACTCGCGGTGCAAAAATCATTCGCTCCTAGTAGCAAAGTTACCCATAAAAATAAAGGATATAACTTCCCCTTTCCTGTGGTGTATTTATTTAGGTTGTAAAATGTTGCAAACGCCAGAAATTTGCCGATGAAAACGGCGCGTCGTGAGCCGAGCGCCCGGGTCGCGGAAACGCGGCCGGCTCCCGCTCGCTATTGCGAAATCACCCTGACTTTAGTGCGCTTGCGCATCTCCGTCTTAGACCGCATCAGAATGAAAGTAGCACCATTCGAAAGCGCAGATTCCGAGCTTAAAAATGGTGCCAGGAACATCGGAAAAATTTTATTTTCGGGGGGCTAAACGTCCATTTTTAACGATTTGTCGATCTTTTTACATCAATTTGACCACCTAAATTTCATTTTCCCGTTTTGTCACCAGTGTCAAAATGACGGCAAAAAACAGGGCTTTCCGCTGATGATGATGAAAGCTCCTTGGCTGATGTAATCGGTAGTTTTCTCGAATGCACGCCGGCGAAGCGCAACGCTAGTTTTACTGATGAAGTCATGGTAAACAGAGCGCTGCCGCGGGAAATACGGCCCGCTCGGGCGATCTTCAGGAACAGCAAATACGTGAATGGAGCGGCACAAATACGCCCTATTTGACGCTATGGAGCAAGAATTTCCAGGTAAAATATGTTTTTGTGTATTTTGAGAGTTTGTAAACACTGGATGGGGGAGGGGGCGAGGTCTAAGGAAATTATGTGTGCTTTTATTAATACCAATTTTTTTTCTCAAGCCCATGCCAGCAAAATTATGTAGTTTCAATGCAATATGTGTACTTGTAGTACTCATCACTGATTATGTTATAGTTTAAGAGTTGTTTATTTCTGTGGTACTTGACATGTAAATTGACACTTGTTTGCCTTGTTCCAAGTTGAAAATACCACTGTGTATTTTTTTCACTTGTTGAACTTGAGGCACCGTGGGCCCCCGGTTAGGGGTCAGCCGGGGAACCTATGCCCAATTTTTTCAAAATTTTGATGGCATTTTAAGCTCATTCTTATTGTTAAAATAAAAGTAAATGGCATTTTGGAGATATATTTTCACTCATATTTGTTTAGCCATGTACTTAATTTATCAAGCCAGCAAACCAATATTTTGCCCAAGTTCCCTGGACTTGGATATCTACCTACCTACCTACGTATACCTTGTCCTTCAAAGGACCAGGTCGTCGGGGTGACAGGGTAGTTTTCCTTTGTGCTGCAGCAGTCAGTAGCTCCGGGATTGTCATCCAAATCATTCTCTTCAATGAGCTGACTTCAGTTCAAACTTGAGGTTACAGTATATATACACATTGTACTTACCTGCTGTATTTCTTTTTATCGTATCAGGAACCCATTTCTTACAAACCTGGGAAGTGTGGTAATGTTGCCATGTGGCACACAGCGACAACCATGGCCACCAACTCTGGTACCCAGGAGAGGTTGTAAAGGATGGGGTGGAGACAGTGACTATCAACTTTTCCCACAAAGTTGCAGTTAACTTGAACCTTCTATTTCTATTAGAAATAAATCTTTAGAACTGCCCAGTATATACAGTGTAAAGAATTTAATGATTTCAGTACACCAAATAGATGTTAGTGCATGTCATACATTGTACGCTAGATGATAATGTTTTATTGACATTGTAAATGCAGTGATAATATTGCAGACAGCTACACTTATGATACATTTATTCAATCAAAACAAACATCTGCCATGTTTCTGCCATGTATTGTGCAAGTGTTGGGTTGTACTCTTGATGCAACATGTAACATCATGGCTCATCAAGCAAGTAATATGTACCGGTATGTGACAGATTCATGCTATCTTACCGTTGACCTTGACCAAGTTGACCTTGTAATTAGGGCAATTAACATTCAATTTGATGACATTCTGTGGATGTAACATATATAGGCAGAAACAAACCCTGATTTTCCCGGGGTTACTTTTATTCCACACCAGGTCACAGTATGTTATTGTATTTCCCAACAACATGTGCACATTTGTACTAGAAATGCTCTCTTTGTTGTCCATTTAAATTCCTGATTGCAAATAAAGATTTGTGCATATATTAGTAAGGGCACATTTTAGTAGAAGAGTCACTGTCTATTTTGGTAATTTTCCGGGGGGTACGTTTATTCCGAGGGGTATGTTTATTAGACTTTGAAGATTTGTCCGGGGGGTACGTTTATTCCGGGGGGTATGTTTATTCGGCAGATGAGAGTATTATGTTGAAATGGATTTTGTTGTACATATACTCATTAAACCCCTATATTTGTACTTAATTGGGCTTGATTTTCTATCTCTTAAGTTAGTCAGATTTTCAACTCAAGTTGCAGGAGAAGGCTTAGCAAAGTGCATTTCAGAAGTGTAAAATGCAATAGCTTCTCCTACGGATTTTGTATTTCCCCAAAACAAGTACAATATATATACTCATTAATTAAAGTGATATATACTCACTAATTAAATGTAACAGTGAAAGATTTTCTCATATATTGGTATTGAAATAAAGAGCACATTTTAGTATCATGGACACGCAGTTCACCTGTCAATTTGGTCATTTTCCGGGGGGTACGTTTATTCCGGAGGGTATGTTTATTAGACTTGAAGATTTGTCCAGGGGGTATGTTTATTCCGGGGGGTATGTTTATTAGGGACACGAGAGTACATTACTATATTCTACATGTACAGTGACATGCAAATTGCAGTCACAGCGATGGAATATATAGGACAGATACCAGGCTATGCATCTCCCCTGGTAAAATCTCTACAGATTGACCCTGATCTTCAAATGGAGACCAGACCAAGGGCCAATAGTAACACTGACTCTGTGGGGGCTATTTTTAAACCGTTGCCATTGACCTAATGCAAAGGAATGAGGCGTATACTGTAGGGGATCTTGTAATGCAGTGCGCAACAGATAGCCAACATTCATGTGTGCACAACGTTTAGAGTGTGAAACAGACAGAAAGAAGTGTACAGAATGAGGAAGGCTGGTTGTTTAAGCTGTGATTGTACGACAAGGGAGATTCCACCCGTTACTCTGGTTGGTAGCATGACATTGTGTTTTGTAATATCCAGGGCTTTAAATACTGGGTGCATGCTATGCTCTTTTGTGCACCCAACATTGGAGCTACATGTACATGTGTGCCTGAATTTTGACCATGGGTGCATATATTTGTGTAGGGTTACATAAAGGTATTGTACAACAGTATATACCATACTCTTGACATTGAAATGTCAGAAAAAAATTTTGTTTAACTTTTACTTTGTTACGTATTTAGAATTGCGAAGCCAGCTACCGGGGTATTGCATTTAACTTTTAAGAGAGTCAGTAAATTTTGTATTAAGTTGTTATGCTAACATTCTAGTCTTTATCTCATGTCACAATTGTGTACTCAAAATTTTTTCTGTGGACCTATTGCCAAAAATGAGTTTTGAGCCCTGACGCATGTAATATACATGTATAACACAATTCTTTCTTGTCCGGTAATTCGATTGTTGGTTACCCAAAACTTCAGCAATTTGATTTTCCTTTTTGTCCCGTAAATTTTTTCCCTATCTTAAGCAGTTTTGTGAACGGAAAGTGGCCAGAAAGTCCAATTTATGGTGTTAGTATGAATTTTGCATGGCGTGTTCGAGTCCTTTGACAAACAGATTGCAGATTCCACACCCACGTTTATGTACCGTTAATTCATCTATTTTTGCGAGAGCTCAAAGTCGTCATGTAAGGAGAAAGGAGGTTTTTCACAGTGTCTGAAGTTTATGTTTGAAACAATTCCATTGCCCAGTTAGTAATTACAAAACAACTATTTGTGGTGTCATGATTTTACGGTAAGTGGTCGAAGGTCACCACGAAAATCGTGAAAATAAAAACACTGCAAAAATGTCAAGATTTGCAGTAACACTACTGGTAAGTGCTAACCTTGTGGGACCCACACCCCTGTACCCTCTAGGGCATGTTAAAGTTCAATATGTCAGACTGAACTGAAAACACATTAACAAGTCTGACATATCGTCTGTGCCCCAGAGTTATACAAATGAATTTTGACATCACAATAATCCTGTGTAAAAAGTGATACCGTAAATTTATTTATGCCTGCAGTACTGTTTAACATTTTGGATATACTCAGAAAGTTTTGAACTGTAAAATGTAAAATGTATGCTTCTCTAATGTAAGCTTGAGTGCAACTTAAGCTGTTATTGATCTATGAACTTTGATGTTTAAGTCAATGTGGGTGGTTTTTGATATCACAGTTTTGACAGAGACATGAATCATGATGTCATATCCCCTCCCTCTGGTCGGATGGGTGGGGTCCTTTACCAGTATTATACTGTAAATTTCTTTATTTTCACCAAGTTACAGTAGGATGCTTTTGCTGTGTCTTATATTAATTTTCTGTTGATACAATGTTTTAGATACTGTTTTTGAAACACCTCTACTTTTCTAGATCTAAAGAGAATTCAAAATATGATTTAAAAGAATTCAAACTTCTACTAACCAAGAGCCAAGAAAATAGATTGGTGTAGACTGAAGGGATTAATGTGACCATTGTTAGAGTTTTATTTAAATTATTTAGTAATACAAAGTTGTTTATTTTCTTGTTTGTTTGTTTACAGAGGGATGAGGAGGAGGATGAACGTTGGCAGCCCCTGATGGACCGCAGCTGCACGGATGTCATCGCTCTGGTCATCTTTATTCTCTTCTGGGTCGGCATGGTATGTAATCTTGCTCTTACCTCCTTTTACTTCTCCCAAGGAAATAAAGTATTATGTTTTGGGCTTGTGTGTATTTCTATTATGGGGAAACACAAGGACACACAAGCTGGTTGTAACAGAGAAGACAGACCCTATTTCCTTGTCTGGGATAATTACCCTAACTCTTTTTGGACCTGGTGGCTTAACATCCCGTCCTAAGGTCTTCAACCCTTTCCAGCAGTGTGCAAGACAGATGAGTGACAACAGTCGGGATTCAAACTCACGACCTCTTCATCCACACCAGAGACAGCTGCAGGGCCGCTAACTACTGGACTTCTGACGCTATGACTGAACTTAAATGCAGTGTCGTAAAGAGTTGCAATCTATAGCCAACACTTGTCTTTTTTTTATGTCCCCTACCGCAGTTCTTCATTGCTGCTTATTCCATAGCCGGCGGAAACGCGTACCGGCTGGCCTATGGAACAGACAGCTACGGTAACGTCTGTGGGATGCAAAACGAGAAGAACGCCAACATCAATCTGAAATCTGCCGGACTGGACATGACTGGAAGGCCGTTAGTATTCCCTTAACTACATGAACTTTTCTAGCTAGCCTGAAATGTTTTCCATCATCTCAATTTTGCTTGATTTAACATGGGGCTCCCTGGGAAAATTTTTAATCTTGACCCTCTGAAATGCTATTTCCTGCATAATGTAGGACTGTATATTGTAAAAGTATGAGTAGTTTTATTCATCTTGAAGGATACTATTTTAAGACTACTCTTATTTTGCTAGATTTCTCAAAGGACCAAAGTATATAGATATAAGTATATAGATATACATCTAACATTAGGGTTTTGAATTTCAAGAAAAATTTTTAAAAAGTATACCTAAGACAAAACATCACTTACCAACAAAATAAATCTTTTGGTATAATACTGCCCTTTGTTAGTTATAATCAAATCCACAATTTTATATTTTTGTTCCCCCTAGGTATGTGTTCTTCATGGATATCATCAACCCTAAGGATGCTCTGGAGATCTGTGTCAGTAAGTGTCCCGACCGGGACTTAAACTCCATCCAGGAGATCCTGGACTTTGCTAAGAACTCCTCCTCCTCCCTGTGTGAATATGACGTGAAGCAGGAGAACATACTGACGGCAGGACAGAGCCACCTGGGACCCTGTCCCGATACTCCTGTTAAGGCAAGGTAAGGCCACACTAGACAGCATGTCGGCAGAACCTACACGAAACTTTTTTTCACGGTTTTCCAGTGTTTGGTCAATGTTGCAGACAATATTTTTTTCTACACAACAAAACTAGATTTTATGTAGGTTGGATTAATTTGAGCTAAGAAACTGTGAAGAAAGCACTTATGTACATTGCACTCAGTGCATGGACCAGTGCAGGTTACGTGTAGGTGCAGACAGATATCAGGAATACCTGCACAGCCCCAATTTACCTGCACTAACTTGCATATGCAGGATCTGGTGGTATTTTGAGCCCTGACCTCAAAGACAAGATATAACAATTATAATTGGAGACTAGGGTCAGACTGAGAACTTTGTTGATGATTTGTTTCTGTAGTTGAATGAATATGAATGAACTTTATTGCTCAACAGTTGTACATGGTACAATGTATGGCATCAATAACAATGTGATCAATACAATCAAGTCTATTCTAAGAGACTACTTCAGGAATATGAACGTAAACGGCGTAGGACAGATGTGACTATAATGAATCTGATCTGAAGTGCTCCTTTACATTCCTCTGTCTGACGAGTTTTCTCCCCAAACGCAGCACCTCGTTCCTGAACCGCTGTGTCCCCAAGAATGCCCCAGACTTTCTCGTGAAGTTCATGGCCATCCTGAACAGCTACGACATCTTCTACAAGGTCCTCAGTGACGTCTTTCAAGCTCGCGCTGAGATCGCAGGGATGTGCGTTCTGGCAGTAGGTAAGTGTCCAGATAGAAGAAACAATCCCAAGAATAATTATAAGTCCAGCATGTAGGTATGGTTTGTGTTAACACTTTTGACTGAATCTTTTGGTCTTCATCAGCTACTTGAACCACGATCTACATATAGGCACATGATTTTCCTGCAAGTTTGCCATCAGCTCTGGATCAAAGTTTGTTGGAAATTGGTACTGCCCCCCACCTGGTTGAGAAAAGGCTGATGTAGTGGCTTCCTTCTTGCAAAGTAGTCACATTCAGTGTCTAGAAAGATTCATCAAGAAATCAGTGGTTTCCTAAAAAACTGAAAACTTAAGTTTTGAGATCAGAACATGATTTTGATGTGTGTGTGTGTGCGCATGTGTGTGTGTGTGTGTGTGTGTGTGTGTGCGCGCATGTGTGTGGTGTGCATGTATGTGTGTGTGGTGTGCATGTGTGTGTGTGTGTTTGTGTGTAAACAAACAGCCTTGTTGTTGTTGTTTCCAGTGGTTGCTCTCCTGATGGTGGCTCTCATCAGGTTTGTGGCAGGTTTCGTCATGTGGATCTTCATGGGGATTGTGGCTGTTGCCAGCATCCGTAAGAGTTACACTTCATCTTAATAAATCTTATCTCTCATCTCATCTATCCCTTAGTCTAATTATTTGACCATTAGGGCACCACAGATGATCTGAAAACCATTTTTCACCACTCCTCTCTGTTTTCTGTTCCTCTTAGTAAATGTCTTCCTTGATTATAGAAGCACTGAAGTTGGGAAAAGGGTACAGTAAAACAAGTAAAAAGTGAAAAAAGTACAAGCAACTTCACGAAATACACAGTAATCACTTGACTTGCACACAAAAAACTACTCTAGTAAACTCTCCAAATAAGTAATTCTGAGTTTTAAAATGTATTTGTGAGGAAAATTCCAGTTCTAGCTTAAGGCAATGACAAAAAAATTAATTCAATGTTCGAGTTGTTGATGTTACTACATGTACTTCTAATGTATGAATCTGTTCTTCCATAGTTGGTACAGCCTTACTGTGGTGGACGTATGCAACCAAGAATCAGGAGTACTACGCCTTACCTGAGAACGAACGGCTGGATGAAAACGGCAAAGACGTGACGGCCTTCCTGGTGTACTCCATCATCGCTACTATTGCCACGGTAGGAAACATGGGAACATAGGAAATAAACATGTATGTAGGATACAACAAGGTGTATTCTGCATCACCCAATTGCAGGTCAGATCGAATGAAGGCCGAAATACACTTCAAAAGCGTCACACTCGGCACACCGTGGTCTGGCATAATGGCAGAGCGTTTGGCCCAGAACCCAGAGATCCTTGGTTCAAATCCTGTCACCAATCCTTTTGGAAGAGCACTTTGCATAAAGTTCCTCACTCTACTGACTTCAGTTGTGGAAGTATGAAAAAAGCATTGGAGAGAGAGGTATGGGCTCCACCGTTCAATTGTGTCCTAGATACAGTGGATAACAACTTACTGCCCGTATGGCATCAAAAAAGGCTATGGGTAACTACAGTTACCATTACAGTTGTCTTTGCAGTTGCCTTGTTCTAAGGCTGTGGACCTTATTTTTTCCTCCAGGTGGTTCTGCTGATAGTCCTGATCGTGATGCGGAAGCGAGTGAAGCTGGTGGTGGCCCTGTTCCACGAGGCTGGGAAAGTGTTCATGCACACCCCGTTCCTCGTCCTGCAGCCGCTGTGGACCTTCATCGCCCTCGCTCTGTTCTTCATCTACTGGACTGCTGTCCTGGTCTTCCTGGCTACTGCTGGTAAGGTCACGCTCCCTAGAGAGCCCTATTGGTACTGCAGACAGCAGATTTGCTGACATACAAAGTCATGGGTTCAATTCCTGACAGTGCTGGGCCATACAATACATTAAAAAAATGTTTTCCTCACTCCACACAGATCAAAGGCAGTGGAAGGAAAGGGATGGGCTCTGCCCTAGATACAGTGGATAAAAAACCCACTGCCTCAAAAAAGGCTATGGGATTGCTATAAAATTTACTGGGACTTAATTTAGGAGCAGAAAGGCGGTTTTCATGGTGTTTTATGTTTGCAGTTAAAACAAAGTAACCCAGTAATAATTTTAGTAGTAAACACATACATGTACATGTATTTCTGGAGTCATGATTTTGCGGTAAGAATACTAAGATGAACAAACACTTCAATATTTGTAGTACTGTACCTGATATACTGTACTACCAACATCTACAGGAGAGCCTACAGTGGACACCTCCACTGGCTGGGTGACGTACCGGGACCCTGAGCCTGTGCGGTACATGTGGTGGTACCACGTCGTGGGGCTGATCTGGACCAGCGAGTTCTTCCTGGCCTGCCAGCAGATGGTCATCGCTGGAGCTGTAACGCAGGTCTACTTCACTAGGTGGGGCTGCTGTACCTGTGTCTAAAGCACTAACAATAACCAGCCTTGTTACGCTGATTTTGTGCTCTTGTGATACATGTAGCATTTGGATCTATCACAGTATGTTTATACCTGCTGGAATGTATTGTTTTCTGCAAAAATCTGAATTGGCTTAATTCCTTTTATTGCTAAACACTGTGTCCTTGCAAAGTTGGGAGAGGCACACGACTTTCCTCACAATGATTGGGGAGGTGAAAGGTATTGGAAGGAGAGGGATGGGCATGTAGATTAACAACCCACTGCCCCTATGGGCTAAAAAGCCTATGGGACATTTACCTTTATCTTCTGTCAATGCAGAGACAAGAAGCTGGTGTCCTCTCCCATCCTGAAGGCCACAGGCAGACTGATCAGCTACCATCTGGGCTCCGTGGCCATCGGATCTTTCATCATCGTACTGGTCAAGATCCCCAGACTCATCCTCACCTACATACAGGCTAAGTAAGTACGATAACAACACAGTCATGATACATGTACATTCACTTCAACAACACACACGGACAGCATGCATGAGAGTGTGGCCTTGCTGGTGTGAACACGCTAGACAGAGCTGCCTGTGTGTTGTGAAGTCTAGCCAACTGCTGCCCAACTGTGTCAGGGACCCTTGCATCAGTATAATCAAAGTCTTGATAGTAAATGAGTGACACAAATACAACATACAATTACAGCAGAAGTCAGATGTAGTTAAAGCTATCTGACAGTGTTATTTTTTTTACAAATATACACACAACAAAAAGAGTTTGCAAGAGGAGCTTTCGAGATGCACTCTGTCTCTTCATCGACCCAGATCTCGTCACTCAACTTGATGTTGACTTTTTGCAGGTTGAAGGACAAGGAGAACTCGTGTGTGCAGTTCATGCTGAAGTGCTGCATTTGCTGTCTGTGGTGTCTGGAGAACTGCCTCAAGTACCTCAACTACAATGCCTACACAGTCATAGGTAAGCAACAGCAGTACCTTTTAATTATTTTCATCTTGAACCAGTTTGGATTGATCACTGAAAAATCCCCCTGGTCCCTTTTGACAAGTATCAAATGATACCGGTATTACTGTAACAGTAACAATGTTTATAACATGATACTTATGTTTTGTGGTTTCCATCCAGCCATTGAGGGGACCAGTTTTTGTACTGCAGCCAGAAGGGTGAGTAACTGTAGTAGCTTTACTGTATCTACTTTGAATTGATTTTTTGGCAGGTATTTAAGCTCGAAGTAAGAAAGGAAAGGTGGGTGGGGCTATAGGATTGCTGTATTGTAAAGCAGCACGAGTATGTGGGTGAAGTCTTATTGCTTTCATGATCAGTTCTATCTTGTGTTTATAACATTCTGTGTTGTTGGTTCTTCTCTGTAGGCGTTCCTGGCGCTGGTGTCCAACGCGCTGCGTGTCGTGGCCATCAACAGTGTTGGAGATTTTGTCCTGTTCCTGGGAAAACTGGGCGTGGTCGCCATAGTGGGCGCCATCTCACTTATCATCTTCAGAGTAGGTGTTGGAATGGACGGGCTTCGGTGTCCCTATAGTCACTTTGTCAGGCATTTTGTATTGTCCAGCTTTGTGCGCCTTGTTTTACATGACTCACTGTCTATGTTTCCTTTGTCACTTAATGACTTATCATCATTAATCACAGCATGGGGGGGGGGGTTCAAATCACAGCAAGACAACAATAATATACTGAATATACATATTCTTTAAGTTTTGTACTGTTCAAATGTGTTGTTTTTTGTGTGTTTTAAAGGTTCCAAGCGAGGTTGACAGAGTGAGTGGGTTCATGTCATGTTAATCATTAATTTTTTTTTGTCACCATTTTCCATTTTTCAGCTTTGTGTATTGCATTATTCTCATTTACATTTTCTCTACATTTAAATCATCTTATTGTTACCTTGATACAGAGATATTAAGCTGTGCAGAGATGTAAGCCTTATTTCATACAGATAGAATATTCATAACTTGTGAGATTAGGCCATGACAGCCAAGCAAAAACACTGTTGAGAGAAAGAAACTTGATTCTAACTCTATATTCACTGTCTATAATACAGTGTGGTACAGACTTTTGACACAGACTCTATTGTCATAAAGGCCTATGACTTCCAGGTCACCAGTATATATCATATTTGATCCAAGAACTGATTAACATTGTCTGGCCATATACATGTAGGAAGTTAAGTTTGTTTTATTTCTGCCCTACAGACTGACGCCCGGCTCCACTACTACGCAGTCCCCATCCTGGTGATCTGCGTGTTCGCTTTCTTCATCGCTCACTGCTTCCTGTCTGTGTATGAGGTATGTAGATTCCAGCTTGTTGCCTAAACACATTGAAGAACCATCCATATTTATTGAAAAGTCTTAAGAGTAGGCTCCTTTCTGGTGTGAGTGGTACAAACCTTAGTCTTATGGCCACACCTGGGGTTGTATTGAGGTCACCTGAGTTAGCGCTGAAAAGTGTGTGTGTGTGTGTGTGTGCGTGCACGCGCATGTGTGCGCACATGTGTGTGCTTGTATGTGTCCATAGTTACAGTATACAGAATACAGTAGAGTCACAAGAAATAAGGCAGAAATGGGGTTTGAAACTCTATTTTCAAGCTCAACCTCGCAGATAATGTCTGACTTTTGTTGACTCTACTGTAACAATATTTATGATTCGTTACTTGTTTCCCTTTGTGCAGATGGTTGTGGACACCTTACTGCTGTGTTTCTGTGAGGACTGCAGGATCAATGATGGTTCCCCTGGCCGAGAGTACTACATGGACAAGTCACTACTGGTAAGTGGTAGTCACACCTTTACATTTTTGTTGCCTGAGAATTTTGTCTACATGTAGTGGATAAGGTGACCAGTCAACAGATTGAGAGCTTCTGGGTTTGGGAAAGACAGTTTACATGACTTTATTTCCTCATTCCACCCAGTGTAAAATGAATACCTGACTTTGTTTAGGGAGGTAAAATGAGGTGGAAAGGGAGGGATGGGCTCTGCCTTGCAATATCTTCCTTTTATCACTCAATCTTTGAGTGATGCAAATTTGAATGAATACACTGTATCTCTTCAGCACTGTTTTTTTTAGTCTTGATGCAAAGCAAGCTGGGCATTTTAAGGGCACAATGATTTTGCGAATGGTTATGATGTACTTGTATCAGACTTTCTGTTACCACACACACTTAAAATCTTCTCTTTCTTTGTCAGGAATTTGTGGAGAACAGCAATGAGGCACTGAAAAACCTGGAGAAGAAGAAGAAGAAAGAAACTGCCAACGCCAACGCCAACGCCAACGAACACGTGGAACTGAAAGAAACGGTAAAGTTCTCTTCTCTATGATACGCCTTTTTGTCTCTAGAATGCATCTTGATTACTTAATTAACTAATATCAAGTAGAGACAACAAAACTCTATAGTGATGGGAAGTGATGTTAAGGCCTGGAAACAACTGGAAAATTGTCTCCCAACAAGTGTACAAGATCTAAATGAGACTTACGGCAGCAATATGTCCATTCTCTCAATCTCGAATTTTAGGGATCATCTACCTGATATATGCAGGTTGCCAAACTTCAGCCAATGTAACAGTAGATTTGTCGATATTGAAATTCAGAGTCTCTCTGCCAACAAATTCACCTAGTTGTTAACAGTACTGTTAGTGGCAGGTATTTCAAAAACAGTTGGTTCTAATGTCAAATTAGACCATGAAAACTGTACAGTCATACCACAGCAGTTACAGGAAAAGTCATGGTCGTTGAATGCATGTATCTGGGTAGGTTTATTGCAATATTGACATTGAGTACCATCAATTTCTGGTTCTGAAGGACCCTGCAGAGAATGCTGTCTAAGCAGAGGGAAAACATGGCATGCCCTAAAACACAAGGTACTATAATATTGGTGTGTGGAGTTAAACTGCCTTCTGTTCAGTAAATCTGGTGAGTGTGGTCAGTAGGTGGTGGAGTGCTACTTTCCTCTCTCCTGTGGTGGTTGGTGTTGGTTTGTGCTTACAGCGTGTTGCCTTCAAGTCACAGTAAATTTTCCCACTATATTTCTATTTCTGCACAGAAAGCTAGGTTCCTGTCTTCTGTACTGTCTATTCTGAAGGGAAGGCCACCTCTTTAGTCCAACTCTTACACAGGCCACACCAATTTTGTTTCTTGGTTCTCGGATTCATTTTCATGATTTTAAGAAAAGCATTAGAGCTTAGAGGTTTGAATCCTGCGAGAAGTATTAATGTTGGAGGTTTTCTTGTCAGCCAAGGTCTTTCAATGGACATAGGACAAAAATTGACTTCAATTTGAAAACCAAAATAAATCGAATTGATGTGACCTAACAGCGGTACTTACATGTACATGTACAATGTATGTTGTCAGGGTGCAAAGTTTGGTTCTGATTCAAGCTTCTTTCTTTCCTTCAGATGAATTCTTCCAGCAAAGCTGACTACGTGTGAAAAGTGCAGCAGAACTTTGCGACAGTCGCTCAACATAAACAGTGCTATTCACTCTTCAGTTGGCAAGAATCAAACCGTATTCAGGTTTGAATTTGATAGTAGATTTAGAGCCATTTTAGTCTTTAGTTGTCAAAAACTGACATTTTTTTAAAGTGTGATGAACAGAAACAAGCCATGTGGAACGTCTAAATTTCTTACGTAAAAAATTATCCTGGCCTGCGTTTTTATGCTGCATCAATGCTGGATATATTTTTGTATTGTTTTACTGTAGAGAGACGTAGAGAATAATATACAAGGAGCTGATGGTGGTACAAAAGTACATGTAGAAGAGGTTTTTACTGGCAGGGTAGTTGACATTTTTTTTCATTGATCAGGTGTAATTAAGATACCAAAATCATGTTTGAGATGTAGAAATGGTGACTAGTGGGCTTTATTTTTAAATCATGATTCAGAGAAATTTGATATTGAATCCTGAGTTGATATTTGCTGCTAGTCATTTTTTAGGCAAAGAGCATGCCATATAAGGGATTTCATTAACCTTCATTCTGCTGAGTTACCCTTTAAGCAGCAAATTTTTACTGGTTATGGCATTAGGCAGCAGAGAGAAGGTTATAGTATCAGTATATATATATTTAGTATGTCAATGTTTACTTCAACCTCACACCTTTAGGCACGGAATTTGTAAATACCTGCTTACTGTGATGCCAACTATGTATTTGCCAATGGAGAACGTAGAAAGATGTACTATGCTTGAGAGCCATAAGAAGTTATATACATGTAACTATAGAAGAAATATGTATTTGTTAAAGATAGGAAAGAAGACAGCTAAGTGCTTGGTAATGTATGAGGCTCCTGGGCTGTTGATCCAGTGTTGTAGCGCTATAGAACAATACTGTACCAATTGTTGGATATACATGTATGTCTTTGTGAATTATTACACCAGCTTTATACCAAACTTTTGGACACTCTGAAGACTAAGCATCAAGAAATGTTGTTGTGGACCTACAATGTTTGTAAGCCTGAGGCAGCTATGTTGAAATATGAGTAGTATAGCATGTACAGTACATATAGTGTCTATATATGCATTGTAGGGGCGTATGTAGTACGATGACACATAGTTTTTGTCTAAAGATATCATGAAAAGTTGTAAGCACTGTGACTGTATTGTGGACACATTCCAGTTGCAATTTCGTTCCTGCTGTGCTTGTGTTATCATTAGGCGACACAAATTTAATTTGTTGGTTCTCGGATTCGCCTCTTCATTTTTTTCTGATTTGCAAAAAAAAAAAGATTCTGGTTCTGAATCAACTCAAAAATGCTCATATTTTGCCCCCAACAGTTGAGGAAATTCCTTTTCTTCCTAGTTGTTACAGTTTTTTCCATCTATCAATGCAGTGGTTTGATTAAAAGTTCAAAATTTATACTTTAAATTTTAACCCAGCCTTTTTTGTTGACTTCATGGCTCATATTGTAGCATTTGGGGCTATAATAGGATGCCTAGACCTGTTTTTTTTTTTTTTCGCCCTGTCGCTTCATATTTTTTCTGAAAAAATCCGAGAACCAACAAATTAAATTGGAGTGGCCTTAAGAGCGATGTTTCTATTGGCTGATGGTCTTGAGCATGGTGCCAGCTTTAAGCTCAACGCGCGAGGTGTAAAACTCATTGTGAGATCGTGAGAATCAAGTGTCTGAACCTGTGTTTACACCAGCAGAACTTATAATAGAAGCCTTGTCATACACTAGTGTCATTTAGAAGAAACAAACTACGCACTTGTGCACAAATAGAGTCCTGTGATGGAATAAACCAAATAAACACTGGTAATTGTCTCACTTTCTGATATTTTCAGTAGTTATTTGTCTTAAGTGTCAGCGAAGGTTAGACATCGAGGTAAAAAGATTCGCCAAAAAGCAGTTACTCAAGCAACTGGATATCTGTATCTGTATCTGTATAGCCGGTATAACCGCCTTTCGGCGTAACACACCAGCTAATATGATTTTCGAAACTCCAAAATCATATCAAGTCATAAACAAGTCATTTCAATGACTGATGGCCATGAAATGTTTGTCCTTGGGGCATGGTTCATTGATTTAAATTTCACAGAGTCCATTTGCAGAGATCACATACTGTAATTCACTTTGAGTTCACGGTGGCAAAATTTCACGGTGAGAAAAAAATCGAGGTGTTCACATACTGATATGTTCACGGTGGCGGCAGGGGAATACTCAAAAGAAAGTCGGTGGAGGCGTGAAGCGCTGCAGTCCCCGCGAATCCCCCATATTTTATCCAAAAGTACTGTACACTTGAGACGGATAATTTGCGAACAAAAAGCCGAAGATTACCCCTAAAGTGGGAGAGAATTCACACACAACACGCCGCACGAAAGCGTGGTCACACTAGCTTGCTGCCTGCAGCTGGTCTAATGGACCTTGCCATGTGTCATAATTACATAGGGGTGTCATGGAATTAATCATTATTGCTTTTAATAATTAACCATCACCATTCCGCCACCAATAAAAAGTGATTATTCTCATTCCCTAATTTTAGACTTATTTTCTGTGCCAATCCCAACGACCACGATACCTTCTACCACAGCAAGTGTTTATATCCCCAAACTTGTGGATGCCCCCCCACATTTGTTGATGTACATTACCAGTGTGGACCTCTCCTTGGTGCTGAACTTACCATCACTTCCATGTATTAAGTATTGCAGTTGTGGCTGCAATACTGTACTACTAGACGCTTTGTTTGACACAACAGTACACCCATGGAAAAGCGAGGGATTGATATATTTCAGTACATATATACAGTATATAGTACATTGAAGCCTGTTTATCAACAATATCCTTATTTCATCAAGTCACTTACATTTTCTGAGGATTAAGAAAAAGTAACAATAGGGTTTACGGAAAAACCCTGCCAGGCCAGGCTACCACAATATCAGGTATAATTTCTTGCTTAACCCTTGTCCTGCTGGCATTCCTGCCACTACATTTTTCAATAATTTCATTTCTTAATTAGATCACAGACCCCCATATTTTGTTGCCTTGCAGTGGCATAGTTACTTCCGCATTCGTTGTGTTTCGCTGTGAATGCGTTGCAAGACAAATTAAATTGGTGTGGCCTTAGAGTGCTACCGGTTTGTTGCTGTCTCTCACGTGATTCAGAGGGTGGTTCTGGTACACAAAACAGAGTTTTTCTCCTCACGCTTTGTTTTCAAATCTGCATGAAAGAATAGCCCCTTAAAAGGCCCAGCCCTCAAAATACATGCACACACATACACACAAACACACACAATCATACAAAGAAACACATTTCAAGTCTTGGTTACTTTATTGTGTATGATACAAGTCTTCCTACCATACAGTCATGTTCCCTGTGTACAATCTTACAAAAATAAAATTGTGTTATCTTACATTCAATAAATAGTACATCAGCCACAAAGTATCAAAGAAAGTTTTCTTTCACGATCAACAGGCACAAAGAACACAAAGGGGGTGTCTCAAACATGCATGTTTACCTTCAAGTTTCTTCTCTTGAATAAGACTGAATTTCTCAAATTTTCCTTTCTTTCAATGTCAATGGAAACTGTAATACAATGTATTATTTTTTCAGCGTTTTTACTACAGTAAATGAAGAATAAGTTCTTGATTGCTCATTCACAGCGATTGTGCTTTGCTGTAATTTGTAGTGAACAGAAAGTGCAAGATTTCGCTCTCTTTCATTTCATTTGATGCATCTCACATTTTCTGTAGACCCTTTAATTTGCTAATGTCAACATACATAGTTTGAGACATCCCCACGACTGTATTTCTTCCTTGTAGGTAACAGTAACACTGACGTCTAGTGTAATAGAACGGTATGTCTAGCTTTGGAGTTCCTTATGTTCGTTTCTACGGTTGTAATTGTAACACTTCTGGGTTAAGTCACAGGTCACATCACCAAGTACATTTAGTAGACATTGAATCATGGGCACCTTTGTATGTGTGTGATTTTTTACTGGTAGTACAATCAAGTGATTTTGCTGTTGTGACATCACAAGGTGGAAAGGTTTCAGGATATGTTCCTATAAGATATTGATGAATAGGAAACACTAGAAAACTACTTCATAATAGTCTCCTCAACAGGCTCTATGGGCGAGGTTTTTACAGATGGTGTACAACATTGTATAATGTCCTTTTTCTTGGTAGAATATTATCAAGTCTGACTGTACCCGATTTCTTGTCAAGGCTTACATGTACACGAGACTGAATACAATCAGAAATGATATATTAAGGCCACACCAATTTATTTATATTTAGAATTTGTTGGTTCTCGGATTCGCCTCTTCGTTTTTTTCTGATTTGCAAAAAAAAAATTGATTCTGGTCCTGAATCAACTGAAAAATGCTCATGTTTTGCCCCCAAACAGTTGAGGAAAGTCCTTTTCTTCCTAGTTGTTACAGTTTTCCCATCTATCATTTCAGTGGTTTGATTAAAAGTTCAAAATTCAATGTTTAAATTTTAACCCAGCCTTTTGTGTTGACTTCATGGCTCATTTCATAGCATTTAAGCCTATAATAAGATGCCTAGACCTGTTTTTATTTTTTTTCGCCCTGTCGCTTCATATTTTTTCTGAAAAAATCCGAGAACCAACAAATTAAATTGGTATGGCCTGACCTCAAAAAAAGTACATTATACATTGTAAGTCCTTCACCAAAAAACGACCTAAAAAGCTTGCCAAGGAGGTTGAACTACCTACATGTACCACAGTGAACTTATTCAGACTATTCTCACCAACAGGTTTTGAATTGTAGATGACTTCATATGTAACGTTTTCGTAACCGTTTGCAAATAGGTTGTGGATTGGGAGTAGTAGACCCAACATGGGTGATCACAATGTTGTTTTTTACACAGTTTTACAAGACATTGATACATTTTGTATGCCACATTTCTATCAGTTTACCTGGCAATATGTCAAGAAGTTTGCTAGAAATGGCTTCAAGCACTGCTAGATTAAAAACAATCGATGAGGTTCTGGGCAACATGCGTACTTCTCTGATTGCAAAATAAATCTGAGGTATTGTAAGATGTTGAGAGAAAAGGCAAGAGCTTTGTTCAAATCCCTACATTTGTAACCTGGGCACCATCTCATTTGTATACCAGAGCTCTGATACTTGCTACTTTTTAGGGTGTGAGTATGGGAGCCCCGGTATACCAAATAGCCGGTATACCCAGGCAACTACAACATTGGGCAAGAAAGAAGAAAATGAATGCCCAAGAAAAAATTCCTTGTGAAGCATTAATTTTGGCACATCCTGAATTGTGTAGTGAATTTTCATTTCCAGATGCAAAACTTTCGTTTCTTTCAGTCAGTGAGTGTTAGACTCACCATCAAAACTTGAAAATAGCTACTTTTTTTCAGTACAGCAGCATTAGAGATATGCTTTCTTTCCTCTTGCCCCTCAACTATGATCCATATGTGGAAGGTAACTTTTTGTGTGATATGTCTGTCGTCTATATACACTCACAGTCAAAACTTTGCTGGTGATGGCCTGTTGTAGCATCAATGCCAGTGATAGCCAACTGTTTTAAGTAGTGGAGACTTCTCAAAGACTCATTGACAAAGGTTTACAGGTTGGAATTAGGTTTGGAAAAATTTAAAGGAACAGTTGATGTGATTTTTTTAAAAAATTGAACGTAATTTGGATATATGGCAAAATTAGATTATTCCATTTTGATTGGTAAGAAGTGCAACTGAAATCAAATATCAGGCAAATCAATTTGAACAGTAAGTAACCAATGCTTTTTTGGCGCCACCTCAAGGGTGGAGGCATTTTTCTAACTACTTCCCAATGCTGCTAGTCAGGTCAGTATGACTGGACAAACTTGTAACATGGCAACAAAACAAAATTCTCCTTCAAATCCACTTTCCCTTGAACATGGGAAGTCTCGTACAAATCTTAAATCAAATAAGATTTTCATATCATTCTTCTTTTCGTTCATCATGGTTCAACAAAGAAATGAAAAGTACATGCATTGGCTCAAATCAGATTTCTAAATCTCAATCATTTATGAAAGATCAGAAAAAGGGTAACTGTACTTCAGAAAAAAAATTCATGAAAAATATTCAAGCAAAAATTTAGACTGCTTTTCCAAATGCTGAGCTGTTTTGAGTTGTCTTCAATTGCTACAAGCAGTCTATGGTAACATCCAGTGTCTTTTATAGCATGAAATTACAAACAAGATTATTAAGTAGACCAAGTACAAGTATAGTGCAACATGGAAAAATATTCAACATATAAATAAGGGTTGATTTTTAATACTGGTAGTCGGACTCACGGAATCACATCATAATGTACAGTTACCCCTTGAAAAAAACATTCCATGAACTATAATATGAATAAATAATTACTAACAGTGCATCGTGTAACCAGACAGTGCAACATTCAATGATAGCGCCTTGAACTTAACGCTCCAAATAATCATCTCGTAACATTAACATCTGAAATTCATTACTATTCTTATGGATAAACTGACATAAGTTATCAACAGCTTCAAGTATAATTCGAATCATATCGTACAAGCCAGTCTTTGGTATAAACAGCGGTTATGTATAAGCTTTTGGCAGCAAAAAAAGGCTGTCATATTATTCAACAATATTGCAACAGAACAAAGTGTTTGATATTTTTGTCTCTTTAAGCTGAGAAAAATTACAAGCAAGGCAAATATGCACATATTGGAACAAAATATACAGCAAGCATACACCACCTTTTGAAGGTGTTTTTCCTATTATACAAGTTTTGCTCACTTGAGGGTTCTGGCCTTCTGCTTTAAGTATCTAGCTGCTTCTCTGATGTTACTTTTATTGCTTCAAAACTTCTTACCACTGGCTTTTCCTTCAAATTATCTTTCTCTCATGGTACACACAGTAACCGCTTAGCTTCGCAGGGTATTTTTACATTTACCTCAACTTATTCTTTCGATTGCTTTCACACTGTATAAGTTACATGGCACAGCCATTTAGTTCTCTTCCAAGCCAGACCTCTTAGACCTTTGAGTTTCACGTTTCAACATTATCATACCCTGTGCAGTCTGGCTTTTCAAATGGTGCCTTCCACCAGTCAGAAGTGCCACCTTGCAAGAGTCTCTAGAAGTGCAGCTCTGAGAGAACTTGCACTGTCAAAGTCTTTTGTCTTCCATGTCTTCTATTGTGACTCGAAGCTGTAGCCGTTGGGCTTGCCAAAGCCACTGTCCGACGAGCCAGCCGAGTTGGGCGGAGTGAGAGGATCGGGAGACAACTGCTGACAATTCTTGACGAGTCTCTGAATGTTTTCCGTGTAGGTTATGAACTCCTTGTCCACATCCGGCTTGGGCTTGGCCTTGCCGGAGTTGCTAAGACTTCTGTCGTCCTCCCGCGGGATTTCTAAATGCGACATGCTCTGTTCCATCTCTTCCTCCTCACTTAGACTGGAGTCGCTGGAGAGCTGTCTGTCGCGCACGTCCAGGCCCGGAGCAGGCACGATCGGGGAGAACTGGAATGATTCAAACCCTCGGCACGGCGTGCCGCCGTCCTGCGTCGTAGTACTACTGTTCAGCGGCGAAGGTTTTGTTGCCGATGACGCGGGTTGTTTCGACTTGTTCAGAAATGTCCTGTCGAGGGACGTCCCGAGCACGTCCTCGCTGTCCACATTCAGAACGTTCATGAAGGCCCTCCGTCCCATGATGGGGGACGCGGGGAGGGACCGCGAACCCTTTGGGGAGAGGTACGGGGGCAGGAGGTTCTCTGCAACGGTCTCCACAGTCTCCACTGGTGTACACGGCGGCGTCGGGGCGTCCGATGGCGACGGGAGATCGAACGCCAGGGACAGAACGGACGGGCTGGGGTTGTCGAGAAGCTTCGTTCTCCCTCCTTTCAAGTGTTCTATCGTGCTGAAGGGGTTGACTCGCGAGGAAGTCCGTTTGGGGGTGTAGTACGGGTCGGAAACGCACAAGTCCTCGATGGAACTGTTCTTCCTCTCCCAGTCCGAAATGTCTGACACGCTGCGGGAAAGGTTGACCTTGCGTCGCGGACGTGGAGACTTTGTCGGCAGAGGGCAGTTGAAGACTGGCTTTGACCTCTTCAGACCCATGGTAACATTACCATTCATGTATCCAGCTGGAATAAAAAACAACCTGGCTGTAGTGAAAATATTCCATGGTATAGCCATCAGCCTGCTGTACTTTTCTTTATACTTTTTTATTGTAAATTTGTTTTAGAAATTTTCAGTTTTGTTGCTGATCAATAAAAGCCATGCTTGCAAAGGCAACCAGTTTACAAAACTTGCTTGCCCCTCTGAAATTGATGAAAACTGGACAATAATGAAATTATGTTTTCTTAGTACCAACAAGCCCCAGGTTCTATTTAAATTTTGATACATCATTCGTTTCTTGTAGTTCTGGGGTAAATCAGGGATGACACATGCTGGATCAGTAACTGTACATCTAGGGCAAAAGGAGCACAAAATCAGCAACAGAAACTTTAAAAACATGCAGTGCTCAAAGGGGCCTCTCCTGAGACAAGAAAACCAGGTCTGGATTTCTCCAGGTAAACCTCCACAATTTAATCATTTATTTTTGTTTCAGAAGAGGCCATTTACCCAATCTTGTATTCCTGTCAATCCCTTTCTATAGTCTGGTTCTAGTTCTAGTAGCCTGGATGGCGTTTCTGCCAAAACACAGAAAATAGGGGCTTTTAAAAAATCGAATATGGACCCAAGCTTGTACTAAATCTCAGTGCTCATAAGTCTCCAAGCAGATATAATGTCTGGGTCTTTTTACACCTCTTTAAAAGTGTTTTTTCTTCTTTTCCTCCCTACAAGTACATGTACGTCTGTTTGGAGATTAAACCACGTCCCTGCCCTCCAATAGAGAGGTATAATAAATGAAAGAAAAACAAAAAAATGGCGGCTTCTTCCCCGCTTACCTTTCTCCGTGAGGACAATCTCTTCCTCGCAGTGCTCCTCCCCGTCGACCACCTGTATAGCGACCGTGTCGTTGCCCAGCTGCTGGGCATGCTCCTCCTCCTCCTTCTCCAGCCGAGACAGGACAGTCTCCAGCTGTGGCACCAGCTCTTCAAAGGATGGACGAAGGGACACGTCCACCTACATGTACAGAGTTCAGCAACATTAGTCTCCATATGTATCGGAATATTAAGATTTTAATGTCCTCTAAAGCAAGACAGCACTGTCTCCTTCTCCAACAGAGACAGGACTGTCTCAAGCTGAGGCACCAGCTCTTCAAAGGATGGACGTAGGGACACATCCACCTACAGAGTACATGTACATCAACATTAGTCAATCTCTCTCCAAATATATAAGCATAATGACAGTTTGATGTCCTCTAATTCAAGACAGCACTGTCTCCTTCTCCAGTCTCTAGCTTTGGCACCAGCTCTTCAAAGGTCCACATAAGGGGGACAGCAGTGTTGGATGGAGGACACTACAGACTACCTGCAACATTTGACAGTGAATTGTCTAGAAATGCTGGGAAAAAAATAAGAGAAACCATTGTCGCCAGACACACATGCACCTACATACGACATCAACATTAGATCGCACAAGAATGTTCAGTGAATAAAAATATGTAGAAATGTTTGGGTGGACTAGAGAGCCACTCACATTGCAACAGTTGAAGGCCAGCTGCAGGAAGGCGGAGGGGCAGTCTCCACACATGTCTGTGAAGGCATTGTAGTCCAGCCCAAAGTTCTGCAAACACAAAGTTACAAGGTTACCCAGGGATAACACATCAGCCTGGCATAAGGGTTATTTTCAATGTGCGCTGCAGGCATACATAAACAAAACATACTGAAGTAACAAAATAGAATACAAAGGTGCAAACTTACTTCTTAAGTACAATAGTGTTTAATAAACACTGTGTACAAGAGTCAAAAGTGTTTCAAACTAGGAGAAAAAGACATAACCAAACATACATGTACAAGCATGAGATAATTATTAAATGCAGCTATACCTCTGTCCGAGGGAGATAGTCCGGATCAGCAGGCACTCTGGCAATGATCTCACACAGCACAATCCCAAAGGAGAAGACATCAGCCTGCAGAGATGTGTATATTGTTATGAAAACATTGAAAGTTTATCTGTGTCAACTTGGTATTTACATGTTTAAGGTCAAAACTTAGGCACATGCATATACATTCAATTTCTCCCGAGCTACGTTATGAAGGTTAGACATCCAGGTAATGAGATACACAAGGAAACGTGTATCCCAAAATCCAGCTGCTTGAGCAACAATTTTCTTGTGAATTTCTCATGAGATTTTCAGAGCATTTGCAAATTCCATCTACCTGTGAATGAATGGTTTATTTACAAATTACACATCGTACAAAACATACAGTAGCAGCCATTATCGGCTGAAATGATGTATGATTTACATTACATTGTTAAAAAGCTCCACTCAGTGATACTTAGGTAACGTAGCATTTGGCAAACAATCACAAGGTAAGGGACAACTGTTAAAATCAGCGCAAGATAACAACATTAATTCTAACTCAACGCTATACATCATATTCTCTAAGAAAAGTCACGCATAAACATTAATATAGATATAAATATACATGTGTTACTCTAGGACTGTCTTGGGCTGTTCGGCGTTTAACAGGTCCACTAAGAACGGCAATGTGCTCTTTCTATATCGTTCCGTCCTACATTTAAACTGTGTTATCTGGTGTTTTCCTGTAAACTGCAGAATGGAATTATGCACATATTCCTGTGAGGGCCTCACCTTTTCATTATATCTCTGGCTTCTTAGACATTCAGGTGCCATCCAGTAGGGTGAGCCAACGATGGACAGGTGGACACTGTCACTGCAGAAAAGATACAATCACAACACCATTATTCAACGTGATACAGAATCACGAATGTTACATGACCAAGAATAGTGTCAATGCAGTACTCTTTAATTGTCAGAAAGACAACTGTTTTTAAAGTTAGCTATAATAATAATAGTTTATTGACAACAATCCTTGTACATGGCAGCGTTTAAACCGCTGAATTGCGTACACAGGTTTAAAAACAATTAAACAATATTAAGGTGAACTAAACAAACAAAGGACATCTGAATGGACATCTGAATAACATACTTCAAAGTATTTTATTTGGATCCATATACCCTAATTTCACCTGACAATACATTGAGATAAGAAAAAGAAAAGCAAAGCAACACATCTCAATGTTACAGTACTTTTTGATGCATTTTCTGATCTAGTCAATATTTCTTTTTCTATTTTCTTGCCAAAATTTGGAAAACACATCACACAATCACCTACAGATACAATTCAATACAAATGCATGTACAAATTTTAGAAGGATGGGCTTTAACTTGAGCTTTAACCCAATTCCATCCAAATGAAGTGATCTATCACGCTCACGGCTATGATGTATAGGGTAACGTTTGCTGCTGATCCTACTTCCTACATGCTCGATAAAATCCTGTCAACTTATCTTCTCACCTCCTGACCTGACTTTCAAATTTTTAATACAAACTCAGACTCCAGCCATCAAGTCTAGCACACAGCTACACGGTACAGACGGATTATGATGCCTCGCTGATTTCAATTAAGCTCATGTACCAGCAAGTGTCATTTTCTTTATGAAAGCATGATAACCTGCACGTTGTTTCCTGCAATTCAGTATCAAAATTTATGTTCGGTATGAAAACTTGGAAGTCATTTGGAAAAGAAGATTAAATTTTTGACAGCGACTTCTGCATGAAGTACTGAAAGTCAGCTTCTGCATCTTAAGTCATAATGTCAATGCAAGGAAACATCTTTGATCTCTACTATTAATGTCATTTTTAAAGTGCTTTCATCCAACATTGTTATTAGTTTGTGTGACCGAAAGTGTGTGTAACACATTAAGAAAATAATACGATGTAATATGGGTAAGGTCACTCTAAACAAAACAGGAATTACAGATGGCGCCATTTTGTCTTCCTGAGAACACTGGTTTGACACTAAGCACCACTGTGAGAATGTTCTTGCTTACTTTGGGTCTGGGATTTTCTCGGCTAAACCAAAGTCTCCCACCACTGCCATGTAGGAGCTGTCATCTTGGGTCCGAATCAAACAGTTCTGAAGGAAAAAGGAAGGAAACAACATTCAGTAACACTGATCTTAGGATTCTTATTTAGTCAACTTCTTCAAACTTCAATCTGAGATACAAATGTAAATGTAACTATCATTTCAAGAATTTTATAGTAAATAGTCCTTTGATTTTACTTTTGTGAGATTTTTATGTTCTAATGCTATGACCCGACATGTTGCTAACTTGTCGTAACACTTTCGATATACTGGCAAATATTGTATGTTTTTTTACTCTTTCATATTTTACTTGTAAATACAGTATGGCCGTACCACACTCACCTGAGCTAGCGCCAAATGGCAGTCACTCCAAACTCTTGCGATTCAGCCTCATTGATTGTTACATGTTATTTAGTACTTACTTACTGCCCTTAATGTCAATCTCGGCAAGTAGGGCAGCAGTGTTACACGTTAGCTCCTCACAATTCAGGAGGGAGTGAAGTGTGAGGAGATAACATGACTTAGTGTGGTGATACTGATGGGTTCTAGGTGCTGCAAGGGGTGAGTAGCTGGCCCACCCAATAACTACTACATACCTTAGAAGTGAGGTCCCTGTGAAACACCCCTCTGGAGTGCAGGTACGCCATGCCCCGTGCGATGTCCAGTGCCAGTTTGACCCTGGTGACCCAGGACAGGTACTCTGGTCCGTCCAGCAGTTCTTCTAGACTCCCGCTGTTCATGTACTGTAGGGGAATATACACAAGATAAGGTTAACATACATGTATATTATGAGGTAAAGGTACAATGTAGTTTCATAGCCTTTTTGAGGCCGTAGGGGTAGTGATCGAGTTATTGATCCCTGTGTCTAGGACATGATATTCGAAGGCGGAGCCCATCCCTCTCCTTCCACTGCCTTTTACCTCCCCAAGTCAGGTACCCATTTTACACCTGGGTGGATTGAGGAAAGTCATGTATAGTGCCTTTCACATCTAGCCAGAATGGGTCTGCAAACTAAAGATAAAAGAACATCATAATAATTTCTAAACTCTAAAAATCTTGTAAGCTCTCTAGACTTGCCATGACTTGGAAAGTGCCTAGAAAAAAGTGGAAACTGTTTACTAGTACTAAGGAAGCGATCTTTACCTTTGACCTAGACCACAATGCATCACCAACTGCACATGTGCACTTTGAACTAAGAGATGGTCTACTGAATCCTTCATCCTCTATCTTTTACAAGCCTAGATACATGTAAATAGCGAATGGAGATTTCATCTTCAAGGTCATGACCTTCACTCTTCCCTATACTCTTTTCTACCTCCGCTTTCAAGGTCAACGAGCAGAGGTCGCGTGTTTACGTCCTGCCTCCCTTTGAACTTTCACGGCCGCCGAAGGGCATAAAATCTGCCACACATCAACGGCCAAAAGGTCATGAATGGAGGAGCACAAATGGGTTTTATATTAGTTGTAAGTGAATTACCGCACATCTACAAATGGTATCAAAAAGGCTTGTGACTTAGTGTGGTAGTACTGATGGGTTTATGTAATGGCGTGAAACACTAGGCACTGTAAAATGAATTATGGTTGTGTTTGTGTTTTTTCTTTTTCTTACACTCTACTCTAAAGTTGCCCTCTGTTCAGTCAATGTAGATGCAGTGCAATATATTTACTTCAAAATCGAAGTGATAAATTTCTTGATGGACCATATGAAAATCAGAATCACAAAATGGTATTAGGCATTTTCTTCTCAAAAAATGTCATTTTAACACATGAAACATAATATCATAGCTAGATTTTTAATAATATTCTAGTACCCTAATAGTTCATTGGCCTTCAGAATATTTCATGCCTTTAATGCACTGCTATTAATTGCTACAGCAAGGCATTCATACATTACATTCCTAGACATCAATGTTGATAATGGTGGGTGACATGTGCCCAAAGGACCAGACAAATAATTTATGACTTTATGTCCTTTCAGCACATTCCAATGGACCATCCCTTTGTGTAGGTGACAAAGAGAACAATGGTAACGAGTACACGATTCATTAAGACAAACGACCTAGCCCATTGGTCGATACATATATCTGCCGTCGCTACGCGACCACCACAGATGTAAACCGTGTAACCGTGCACGCGATGTTGTATGTCTATGGATACACCGGATGCCAAGAAGAGGTCAAAAGGAGTTTGTGCACGAATTACGAGCAACTTCTAAAAGTATCGCAGTTCTGTCACACATGTAAACACAAGTATAGTGTTACAGTCAAGTTTCCGGTTACCCGACCGACCCTACCGAAAACTGCCGACACTTATAGCCGACACTAGCCTTTTTGAGGGGGGTGGGGGTCGACCAATGGTGATGAAGCAAAATCTAATTGAGAGATAAAAACGTTGAAAATTTGTCTGGACTAGGATAAAAAAATGTCTGCAATACACTTCTACAGTCACCTACAAGTACATGTAACTACATGTATTCTGAAGAATTAATGTACGAAAGACATTTGTATGTCTGATTCAGAAGATCGATAAAGCACTTAAAGGAATGTCTTTCCTGCAAAACGTAAATTACACACTCCAAGATGTACATGTACAGCTTCTGCTATAAGTCTAAAAATGGAATAGCTTTAGGAAATCCAATCCACTTACTGGTTTACTCAGGTTCCAACTAGATATTTATTGCTATACTACATGTACTTATATGTCTGCGTACAGCGTAGATAACATACATGTTTGTACTCCTACTAGCTTCATCTTGCCATTGGCAATGCACTGTTCTTGAACATGAAAGTCATGTATCAGTGAAATAGCAGGCATACAAGTACTTTATGAGTCTGGTATAACATCTCTTGCATATGTGCAGCCATTTTTTTTTTCCAGAAAATATTTCCTAACAGTATTTTGCTGTTACGTGTGCTTTAAGATATTACAAATGTAGCTTTGGTCATAAGAGGAAGCTATCAAATATGTGACTGTATACTTTTTTACAGGACATAGTACGAAATGAATTGATAAGCAACGTTAACTACTTGGCTATGATTTGTATAAATGATAAAACTCAGTCTGGAAAAATAATTGTACTAAATTTACAGACATAACATTCATGAAAATGCTCTACTAAGTCAGTGTACAGATGTAAGGCCACACCAAGTAAATTTTATGGATGACGTCCGCGCGCGCATTGATTTTGGCCTGTTCCTAGAAAAAAAACAAGAAATTCCGCTTCCTGTAACTATGACCAAAGAGTCACGACAGTGCTGCAAATCGTCAGATTGACGTGGAACCCGTAACGCGAAAACAGGACAGGACGACAACTGCTGTTCCACCTGATTTATTGCTGTTTTGATGATGAATAAAAGACTTCTTGCTTGTTACACTGTGTCACCTCATTCAATTTGTGTCCTAACATTTGTCGTCTCTTAGTATATTTCTAATCTAGGCATCTTGTTTTTTATGGCCCTTTTTATGGCCCTTCTTGTTTTTCTTTCGCCCTCTCGCATTAGATTTAGGGTCTCCAAAGGACGTCATCCATAAAATTTACTTGGTGTGGCCTAAAGTAGAATGTCTAACTTCCCTAACTGAATCTGACACATAAAAATGCATAGATTTCCTATACAGAACTGAATCCTGTAATATATCTTAATATGTCTAATTGAATCAAATAAAAGACTGGTCTTGCTGGGAATAAAAGGGCATCAGGAGGTCAGTACTGAAACAGGCAAGGGGACCTTAAAAAATCAAGAAAGGCTGGTTCGGCACCACAAATATTTCAGAATCTACAGTACATGTGAGGACTGCATTCCGCCGTTACTAATATTCTATAAAAATTGGACCGATACACAGTACCCAATTTGAGGTACATGTACATGACTTGATTTTCCATTGTAGGCCCGTGCATATTGTGTCCAAAGTACAATTGCATTTAAACATATATGACCATAGTTAATAGAAATTGATTCATCCCAAGAGGATAATCCTAAAAAAATATCATAAAAAATAAACATTCATAAATAAATCCAACTGAGACTTTTCACTAACACTCCAGCAAAGCAATGTTGTTATTTTTTCCTACCATCCCTTTAATTTTATTTGTCCACTTTCACTTAATAATTGATACGGTGACACCTTGGCAATATTGGAAACTTAACCAAGTGAAGAAGGCGTTACAACGATCAGACGCATTTTCCCTCCTACATGTGCCTTAGCGAATGGAAATCAATAGAAAGGGGATTTCTTATGCGCGTCGAGAGATTGCGTCTGGCCTAGATTCTGACAACATAAAGATCTGTTATACCAAAAATAAACATCAATTACATTGCATATTTTCTCATGTTGTGGAAATGTCATGCTTTACCCTTGTATAAGAGTCGACTTACTGTTACAGTAACATAATTATGCTCTGTGAAATTATATTTATCTATTCCCACTGATTCAATAATACATTTTTTTTAGATATATGCTTAGGTCAAACTCAGTTGGCAAGTAAATAATTCCCACCAGGTGCAGTTATGCATATCTTATGCATCTCCTGACAGTTAGTTACACTGAGAAATATCATCAGGAAAATGACTCAAACCCCACGGCTCCACTAAATACGACTGTCCTACGATTTAAGCTCGCATTTTACATGCAGTATTGATTTTTTTATCTCCTGCGAGCCTAACTGGAATGTAATCACAAAAATAATATTTTTTCCGTTCAATTTGCTCCCCATTTGTAAGTAGTTCGCTTGGCAAATTGCTTCCAATTGCTGCTGGATTCTCAATCACTATGTGGGGTCATTATCGACCCCCCCTCCTCACACTGATATTTATACTACATGTGATAAATTCTCTGTCCGAGCCTCGACATTAGGACATGATTGATATTGTGGGGTTGGTATTTGGAACAAGCTATTTTTCATCATACCTACATGTCATGACACTAGATGGATGGTTCTCATCTCCATTCATGTAGAAAGTGTCCCAAAACATCTAAGTCTTAGTGTGTACATACATATCTTTACTCTTCCTAAGAGAATTCTTGGGTGCTATATTCATTCTTTGATTTATTGAGTGTCTGCTTGCGCGAATTTCTTTCTGATACATTGCATATGCATATGTTGGTGTTTCATAACTCACATCTTGGTATTTTCAGAGTGTACCGCTCAGACTCTGTCTCAGAGCAATTTTTATATCCAGTCGGATTTATGAGTATCTAGGAACCACATGGGAATAGGAGGAAGTCATCAATCATATAGTTATGATATATGAATCTTCCTATGTGTACTCTTTGGGGACTGTTTCGGCATATGAACAGAATGTATACTTGGTATAATCTACATTTCGGGACAAAAAAATGAGAGATTTTAGACTGTATAGGGAGTACACAATGACAATCCTCTGCTTCCTGAATTCCCCCTTGCCGGCCAGATTTTGACACTTTGATCTCCAGACCTACCATTATGCCTGTCAATCTTACCCCCACCCATGTGCTGTCAACCTACTCTGTCTGGACAAACAGATACACAAACCCACAGCTCAGCAACCTAAAACAATCATACTTCCATAAAACTTATATCACTGACCACATGTAGGAGTGTCTTTAGGTTGGAGTGTCTGTTTGACCCAATATACATGTATATCCATTTGGAGAACGCTATTAGAGTACAAATGTCAATTTCCAAACTGTCCACTTCGGCAGAAATGACTACATTTCGACAAGCAATTTACCATCCCAAGCCATGTTTCCCTCTTACATGTAGACTTTAAGATTTGACCTACCCTTAATGTACATCTTTCAAGATCACTACAGGTACTCTGAGTCTGAAAATGCCCTCTCTCTTTTTCTCCATCTCTCTCTCCCTCATTCTCTTTCCAAAGCCATATTCAGGTTATTTTTGAGTGTCAACCATAACATAAAACAGCAGGGTAAGGAAAAGGGTCAGGGCAAGGATCTGTTATCGGTTCTTATGTTCCCACCTCTTAGTCTGTGCCAGTGGCTGCACTGCCCTCTCGACCTCGGTGATTTGTCTGGCTTTACAATAACCCATCAGGTGGAACAGTCCAGTAGCTACAACCTCTAATGGCGTGTGGAAAACTACCACTCAGACCATTTGCTGTTAGTAGACTGTATTGAAGGATGGGGGAAGGTTTACGATGTTGGAAACATTTCTCGTTTTTGAGTTACCGTAAATTGATCTATATAGCAGAGACTTAATTTTGAAACAACCTACTGGTAACAGATGTTTTAACATTAAGTCTCTGCCAACATACACCAATTTGAGGTAACTTAAAGACAATGAATTTTTTCAACATTGTGACTAATTGTTCACACTGTGATATGGCAAAGTCTCATCACCAAAAATTCGGAAAAGAATGCAAATATTTCATAATTAACATTTTGTACAGTAACTCATTTTTTCGTGATGTTGGGCTGGGTATCATTAAGCATTTTTTTCTTTTCATTTTTTCATTCTGTTGACTCTTCTACTGGACAGTTACAATTGCTCTTTTCTGCCCCTATTTACTTTGGACTATCCCTTGTGTGTGTGGAAAGCTGTGTGTAGAATGACTTAACAGGGGCTGGATAGTGTTGGCACTTAACCAGCGCGCGGTGTCTTTGATGGATAACAAGCTCTCAGTCAGGCTTCTCACTCCTCCAAATGATTTTACACTCCAGAGAAGGTCCAGTTAAAGTATCCCATCGCCATGAAGTCTGGAAGATGCCCACAGAGCAAGCTAAGTGTGTTGATCCTTACGCTGTGGTGCTGGAAAATGGAGGATGTTCTGAGGATTTCCAAGAGAATTTGCATTTAAATAGGTTTGTCAGTCTGTGACAGGGATTTTCCTTTGATGTGTTATCTTCATAGCATACATGTACATGATTCTATGTGGCAGTAATGTCTTCAGAATGACAGAACGCTTTACACTTTACTCTTACAAGGATATACACTTCATATCCCCCAATTCCAACATTGAAAATTACCTGCACCAGACAAATTTTACCTGGATGGATCATGGATTCAAACTGAAAAATTGTCTAGAAATCATTGCCATTCTTTCTTTTATACTTCATAGGTGGTGACAGTCAATACTGTTAGTGAAAATTCACATACATCTACATTACATGACTGTATATATTCATAAACCAGTGCAGAATAGGTGTAGGTAGACATCACAAATACCTGCACGGCTCCAATTTGACCTGCAGTCTCTATATATAGTCTATACGTGTAGTCTAGAAGTGCAACAATTAACAATGAACACTCTGACATATTTTTGTTGCATAAGACATCCAAATAGTTTTTAAAATCTTAAATCCAAAGTCAAACAAAAGAGCCCGGACTTTGTCTTTCCCTGAGCATAAAACAAACACAGGGATAACAAATGGTTCCACCTTTACCTGTCTCCATGTCTGTGACCCTATATATAGTATAAGTATGACGCATGAGAGCAAAGTTTGCTGATAATGGTATGTACTTGAAAGTTAACTTTTGGTACGAGAGTACCTTCTTTGCATCTTGCTACCCTCAGCAAACGCTTTTAACCTATGACATCGCAGGAAGCAAAGAAACTGAAAACAAACTAGTGGATGAATCACTTGTATGGTTGACAACTATGACGATTATACAAATTACACAAAGTAAACCCAAGAGACAACACTTTGCAGATTGGTCTTGACTTCAAGATGCATGAAATAAGACTATGTACAGGTAGCTTCGTTGTCTACATGACTTTGCAACAGAGAAAAGATGATTCATTTTAAGTGGTCAGCGGCCTGGGTCCAAACAGTCATCGATATTACTACAATCTAGAGGGGCTCATTGCTATATTTGGCATCCCTACTGTCCTTCCACTGTAAGAAGTTGGCCGTGCATAGCTTTGGTGTTTCAAACTTGGTGCTGGTCTACATGACTTTGCAATAGGGAAAAGATAATTTGCGTCCAGAAGCCTGGGACCAAACTGTCATCGATATTACTACAGTCCAGTGAGGCTCATTGCTGTATTTGGCATCCCTACTGACCTTCCACTGTAAGAAGTTGGCCATGCGAAGCCTTGGTGTTTCAAACTTGGTGCTGGTCTACATGACTTTGCAATAGGGAAAAGATAATTTGTGTCTGGAAGCCTGGGTCCAAATTGTCATCGATATTACTTCAGTTTAGTAGGGCTCACTGCTGTATTTGGCATCCCTACTGTCCTTCCACTGTAGGAAGTTGGCCATGCATAGCCTTGGTGTTTCAAACTTGGTGCTGGTCTACATGACTTTGCAATAGGGAAAAGATAATTTGCGTCCAGAGGCCTGGGTCCAAACTGTCATCGATGTTACTACAGTCTAGTATTGCTGTATTTGGCATCCCTACTGTCCTTCCACTGTAAGAAGTTGGCCATGCATAGCCTTGGTGTTTCAAACTTGGTGCTGGTCTACATGACTTTGCAATAGCGAAAAGATAATTTGTGTCGAGAAGCCTGGGACCAAACTGTCATCGATATTACTTCAGTCTAGTGGGGCTCGTTGCTGTATTTGGCATCCCTACTGTCTTTCCACTGTAAGAAGTTGGCCATGCATAGACTTGGTGTTTCTAACCAAGTCTTGGTGCTGGTCTACATGACTTTGCAATAGGGAAAAGATAATTTGCGTCCAGAAGCCTGGGACCAAACTGTCATCGATATTACTTCAGTCTAGTAAGGCTCATTGCTATATTTGGCATCCCTAGTGTCCTTCCACTGTAAGAAGTTGGCCATGCGTACACTTGGTGTTTCCAAAACGTCGGCTTTGGTTTGGATCAAACATTACGGGGAGACAGAGACAGAGGAGTCACAGTCGCCCTGGCGCCGAGTCAAGTTTAGCCGGGATCTTAGGGACCGATCGATAATAATCAGGGTGGGAGTGAGAAGAAGGATTGGACAGTTAGGGACCGAACAAGAATAATCCAGGTGGGGGGATGAGGGTTGTTGTTGCAATTTTTTAACACATCTTATTATGTTCGTACATTTTCTTCTTCCTCTACTTTCTTAGCATTTCTGTACTGTCAGCTTTTTTCCTAGCTGAGAATTTTTTTTCTGGTCTTGTTTTTTTTCCCTNAGAACCCCCCCCCACCCACACACACACGCACACACACTTGATTTATTACAGTCATAAGTTTTGTGTCATGGAGGTTTCACTTTGGTACAATAACTCAATCTATAAATCAACAACCTAAACTTCTGTCTAAGAAAGCTGATGTCTACCTACTAGGTGCTGTCTGGGGATATCTGGTTGACTGGACTCTGTGAAAGAGCAACTGTCTTGCAAAAAGCGTAACAATCACAGAACCATCACAAGTTGCCTTGTACCATTGACAAAATGATAGCAGCACTTAGCGATGGCTGCAAAAATAGTGCCTACTTCACAGTCAATGTTGCATAGAACCAATTCTCTCTCAGACTTAAGTGAGCCGGGCTTGTGCTTCTTTCAAAGCCAAACTCAATGCCTTTTAAAAGACCAATGCAGTAACGATTCCTTTAAATTTTGTGCGCTGAACACATCTAAGAGTCCATTAGTTGTCTAAGTAGGAATAATTAGTGGGATTTTCTTTTCGCCCACACAGTAAAGAGTGTAGAAAGCTTGGCTGGCTGCCATCCCGCCCTTGGTGCTTTCAGACTTAGCAACCTCGAAGCTTATCCAGTTTCTTGTTTGCCCCTCATGGTCGAGGATGACCAATGGCCTTGGTTCATCACTGTCTCGGTTGATGGGTCCAGAGGTGGCCGTTGAGGCCAATCCGGGCCAGGAAATTACATCCAGTAAATTACCATATAAACCATTAAATGGACCTCTTTCTGCTTGTTGTCTTTCTTCTATTAACAGGTGTGCACTGTGCAGTGTTATGTAGTTAACTAAAATACCACACAGGTCAACCTAACTAACTTTTAGGTCATGGATATTTTCAAGATATTATCAGAAAAAGATCTTTTCAGTTCTAATGAGACAAAATCAGTCAAGCATACACTGAAATCGTGTAAATTATAATTGTTAGACTTACCTCAGTCAGTGCATGCAACTGGCCTTCGTGGACACACACTCCCATGAATCTGTGGGAAAGGGGTACATGTGGGAACAAGGTAAGAAGTAGAGTGAATGTTGTTGCGACATCCAACAGACTAAAACAGGCGGAAGCTTGTCTGAGCAGTAGACTAACTCCGGTTGCCAAAGCCAGTCTGTGGAAAACAAAACAGTTGAAGCTATAAATAAATGCTGAAGCTACAGCTTTTTGGCCTTGACTTTGGAGTGTTGACAGCTCCAACAGACTTGACCATGAGATTTGTAGACACAAGTAAATGATGGAGGCCTCGGTCTTCCCCCAAACCATCACAGCAACGAGCCAATACAATCAACCTCCCCACGCTCCCAACTAACCTGGGATCCTTTCCAAATAGACGTGGGATCATCTTGCATGGAAAAGTCCAGGCTGGCAAAGTACCCTGTCTCTTTTACGACTAAGTCAGCCATTTTTTGGTGAGGAATTTGACAGCTACTGCCACAGAAATTGTCATTGCCGAGTCTAGAAAGGGCTTCTGTTAATACTGTATGCCCATTATTTTTTATTGCATAGACATTCACTTGTCCATTCCATAAAATTCATATCTTGCTGTGGTATGTAACTGCAAGCTATTACAATGATATAGAAGTGTCTTGCATCAAGATGAAAGCAATCTTCTGGTGTCTTTGGTATGTCTTTTAAGCTTCAGGATGACTGTGGACCAGGGCTATAGCCAGCTCCAAATATTATTTTCTATCAGCCCAGGTTCATGATTGGACCTGGGGGTAGAGTGCTTGCAATCTTGGGGGTCTGAATTAAGTTTTGTATTTTCAAGCCTTTAAAAATGCAATTTCACACATTTTGAGAGTGAAATCATGTGGTTGAGAGTGGTTATTGGTGGTCTTTTGGATGTGTTTATATTTTTATACCATTTTGGCAATCTTGTCCATCAAGGTTGACGGATTGCTTTAAAACTTTTTTTGTCACACGCCACAAAGTACAATTGACGGAAAAACGGGTGCTGGCTAGACCCCTGCTGTGGACTAGATGAAAGCCTGTGTGACATGGTTCTGCGTACCTGAGTATGTTGGGGTGAGACAGTCTGTTCATGAGTTGTACCTCCCGTAGCATGTTGGGCCTGTTACTGCTGTTGGTGTTCATCTTCAGCACCATGACTTGTCCTGTCACTCTGTGGGTCACCTGTACAAAATAAACAACAGATTTTCATTAATAAACATGTTTATAGATCGCGAGTTTGATCCCAGGGTCAGCTGTGAAAGATTGCTGTCATTTCAGATGGTGACATAAATCCAGGGGATTTGTGTATTCTTGCATGAGGGATGTGTGTAAAGCTTTAATCGTAAGCCCCATCAAGTGCCAAACCTCAATCTGCAAGTAAAAGAACCCAACACACTTCAATATCAATGGTTCAGGCTATAGACGCAAGGTGAAGCCAACCATTTTGCTTACTTGCTAAGTGATGCAAGATAGTACCAAAAAATATAATCTAATTTCTTTTTTATTGCATGTCTTTACTTACTAATAATGATGATGATGATGATGAATGGTTTATTGACATAAAATCCATCGCAGCCCGCAGGCTGAATTGCGGATTCCGATTACACATAGGGCTCAATTGACAATAAAACAATGGGTCAATTATCCTATATATAAGTATAAAAAGAAATAACGTTGATGGATAAAATTTAGCATTTATACAATAATAGGTTTATCAGACGGTATATTAAAAGCTTAATCCTTAAAAACATTAACTATTTGATTAAGTATTTAAAAGGCGAACAATGTAAGCTATTGGGGAGTTCCTGAGTCGTTCAGTCCTACATTTAATTGGTCGATACTTGTCTCTGTTTCTGGTTGTTCTGTCATGGTAGTCCGAACCCTTTGGTGGCAGCATTGACGGTGTGTGGGATTCTAAATGAGTCCCGAACTTGAGACACAGCTTCTGCCGGCGGTCTGAGAGCAACGGAAGGTTTAAGTCTGTCCTGCCTTGCTCGTAGCTAGTGAAACGCCTTCCCAGTATTGTCCGAACTGCTCTCCGTTGTACAGCTTCGAGTTTGTCCGACTGTGCACAAGTGAGCCCCGGGTGCCAAACTGGCGCGCAGTATTCCAATACTGGCCGTACAAAGGACGTGTATATAGTGACGAGGTCACCGGTGGGAAGATTGAAGTGTTTGAGTTTCCGTAGGAAGAAGAGTCGACCGTTAGCCTTTCCGATCATTTTGTTAACCTGTGTCTCCCATTTCAAGTCCCTCTGCAGCCACACCCCCAGAAGACAGGTGAGTGGAACAACTTCAAGGGGGGATCCATTGATGGTGAGCGTTGGTGGTGGGGGCGGGCATTTCATGAAACAGAAAGTGATGACCTTGCACTTGTCTGGGTTCAATACCATGTGGTTGTTCCGACACCATCTAGTGAAACTGTCCAGTTCATCCTGCATAAGCGGCGGCTCGAGGTGGTGGCGGGATTCTGTCATAGACAAGTCATCCACATACTTCCAGTGATGAAGCAGTGCGTCCCTCATGGCATCATCAAACACTACGAGGAAAATTAACGGACCAAGAAGTGTTCCTTGCGGCACTGAGCAGGTCAGTACCTCCCAGTCAGATAGCTGTCCTCCATAGCGAACTCGTTGCCGCCGCTGGGTTAGAAAGTCGGACACCCACTGGATTAGACTCCCCCTTACACCAAGTCGTAACAGCTTCTGAATGGCCAACGTGTGGTCTATCCTGTCGTACGCCTTGGAGAAGTCAGTCATGACCATTGTGCAAATGTTCTTGGCCTTTTCAGATTCCCTACAGAGAAAGTCTAACAGACTGACCAGATACATTGTTGTAGAGCGGCCTTTCAAGCAGCCAAACTGCTGTGTGTCCAGTGAGGTACGTACATCTTGTAAGATCCATGTAGAGACGAAGGATTCAGCAACCTTGGCAAGCTGAGAAGTAAGAGAGACTGGTCTGAGCTTGTCGACTGAAGGGGGATGTGACTTGGGCAAGGGTACAACTGTGGCATCCTTCCATTCTTGTGGGACGAAACCTTCCTTGAAGGATGCGTTCATGATGTCTGTGACCGGGTAGCTTATTTCACATGCGAATTCTTTCAAAATCCTTGCACTCAACTGGTCTGGACCAGACGCCTTGCCAGCTTTCAGTCTACGCAGCCGGTTGTAGGTATCCCATACGCTCACTTCGGGTGGGCCTGACTGAACGGGTCTGTATGCAGGCAACTGTTCTGGGTCCAGTGGTGGTCTTCCCTGTGCCACCTCGGCGAACTTCTTGTTGATGTGGTTTGAGATGAACACGTTAACACTAAAATACTATATGATTGTATACACCACACCATACTCAATGGACCATCCCCTAAGTGAAAAATCCCTTGACCACAGTCCGCTAAATCAGCTATCAACGGCTAAAGGTCTTTTGATGCCGCCCTGATCAATTATACATAGGGGGCAGGTATTGATTGCATATTTCATACACCCCACCTGTGATGCCGACACAGAACACTGACAGGTAAAAGTGGTTTCACTGACTAAATCTGACGCTCGCAATCAAATCTGGTAGACAGGACTATCAATTTCTGTCAGGGTGTATTCCCAAAGGCATATTGGTTGGTACAGAACTAGAGTGGACTTGAAACTTCACAATGTATGAAAGATACATGTACATATGTGTACATGTGTGTGCTGTGTGTGTGTGTGTGTGTGTGTGTGAGTCTATGTGTGTGTGTGTGTGGCGTGCATGTGTGTGTGCATGTGTGTGTGTGCATGTGTGTATGTATGTGTGTGTGTGTGTGTGTGTGTGTGTACATGCATATGTGCGTGTGTGTGTGTTTATGTATGTCTGTGTAAGCATGCATCTATGTGTGTCTGCAGGTTTGTATGTGTGTGCATGTAATTTCGTTTGCCTCTGACACTACCCACAATGCCCCCACATCTCCCAGCATACAATGGGATCCGTGAAAAGGCATACAGATCAAGCGATCACCATGTACTGTGGCCGACACGAACACCTGTCTACCATAAGGGCTGTACTGTAGAACCCACACAAACAGACAGATTGGACACTTCCTCCCAGACTGGGGAAGTGCAAACCGAGGGCTTCCTCTGAGGGACCGCTGATTGCAGCAGCGGAATATAAAAGGTGGAATAGTCGCAGGGGCATGTTTGTCAACAGGCGGAAGTACCACCACACTGAATACAGATGGTTCTAGAGCCATATCAACTGACAACAAAGCACACTGCCACAAATAAAGAGAAAGTAAATAACTTGAAAGCACTTCTCCAAACACGGGCCATCCACAAAATAGGCTATTACCACAGCATAGGCCGTGGAGAAATTCCTGGCTACCGTAATTCCTGATTTTTTCACCATTTTCATGGTCACTTCTGTGTCATATACTTATCATTACAGTTACCAAATCATTTGTCTTTTGCCCCTAGTCCTTGAACATGTGCATCTTCCTCAGAGTCAGACCATGCAATTTTGCTACTGTGAAGATGAACTGAATTATTGTACCACACCACAGCATAGGCCATTGGGAAATTCTGAACTATTACTAGTATTCGAAGAGAGAGCTTGCACATACTTAGATCCTTGACAGAGTAAAGCCCTAAGAAACCTCACTGTCTATTCCATAAAGGAACCTCAATGTCTATTCCAATATTCCATAAAAGCCTCACTGTCTATTCCATAAACTTGATAAAGCCTTCCAAACCGCCCAACTGTGCCAAGAATAGACTAAGATCTATAACTCTGTCATTTTAAGCCTACCTGAGGAAACATCTGTAAGCGCTGTGTGCTTCAATACCAATCTCACGATTTTATCCCCATATATACACAGCACCTAAGGGTACATGTATATTTACTAGCTACACTGATACATGTACCAGAGACATGGCAAGGAGCCAGCGGTGGAAATTGGAGTATATTTCACAAGAAGGCACAGGTTGCAAATTGTCTGGTTCTTAATTGTGGTTCCCAGTATGCACTTAATATGATAATCTTGACATTCGATTTATGACACTTCGAGCAGAAAACCTGGTTACGTATATGTCATGCTCAAAATCCTTTTGGCATTTGCCACAATATGATCATTTTCTAACAACATTTCTAATGAAAGAACTCCAATAATGTATAGATTTCAATTATCATCATGGCTCACCTTTTTAAGAACTATCAAATATGAAGAATAAGATTCATATCATTGCTTCAAAGAAACAAGAAATTAGAGATTTCAGACTTCTTGGACGTATTTGGAGGTTTTGTGACTTGCCCCCATTTCCTGTGTCTGACCTTCTGACCAACTGTTATTCTGCTTGTCAATCTTCACCCAACCCACATGCTGTCAACCTGCACTGTCCAGACAAACAGGTATACAATCCCACAGCTCAGCCACCAAAAAAAAACAAAAAACAATACTGTAAATCACTTAACATTTGCGGTAGCAAAATGTCGCTGTCTGAGAAAAAGAGGATGTTCCCAGTAGCGGCAGTTGCAACAAAAAGAAAGTCATTAAATTATTTGTTCACATTACTTATAAATTCGCGGTACAGAAGTGACTGTAGACCACAAATATAAAAGTACCGCAAACCTAAAGTTATTTATAATTTCCCAATGTTGACTGGAAGCGCTTCTAGCTGAGAGCCAAGTTGAGCTCCAGGCCATGACTTCACACTTGGCATCTGAACAAAGACGGTCACAAGCTTTTCCTTCCTACCCAGTCTGTTGTGCAGAGAGAGACCCAAGCTTTTGATCTGAAAATCCGGGATGCCTGGCCAAATCACAAGACACAAGTATGATACCCTCTTTCACAAGCAAAAACATAAAATCAACATGACTCTGAAAAGTAGAAACTAAGATTAAATGCTACTTCTGTACAGGAAAATAAATACGGGTGATATCCAGATATCCAGAGGAGAATATCAATTTTAAACGATGGATATACACACTATTAAATCATTTTCATACCATGTTACACAAGTTATGCCAATTTTTTTGGACATTTCCAAGCAATATTCTAATCACATTAATTCTAACAAAAATGTAACAGACACCAGACATAGTTCAAGGAATCTACTGCAAAAGAAAGAACATCCGAAGACACCAAAACAGTCTGGCTGCAACATAAAAACTCTGGCTGCAACACTGATCATCATTGAGCTACAGATTTCAATTACCACT